CAGAATATTACAATACTTCATCATCCACCTTAAGGGAGTACAGCACCTTGACGTGGTGGTTGGCAGCTTGTGTGCGCCCCGGAACTGAGAGCTATGCCGGCGGTAGCGCTAGCTACTGGTAGGCTGCCTCCCTGGCGGAGCCAGGTCGAAGGGGGGAGGGGTCAGACCCGGAAGGAGTACTCAGAAGAGGACACCGGGCGTTTAAGGAATAGCCCCCAAAGGGGAGAGAGGACCTGAACGAGAAGAGGAAAGTTTCGGACGTAATCTCGGCTTCGACATGGCGAGACTGTCCTGATGAAAGGGTAGGCGGAACTCTTAGCCCAGCACGGCAATCCGCCTAGGGTCCGGTGGCCCAAATATACCCAGGCTTGTTTGGAAGCTTGTGAGGTGGCAGCCCATTAACACCTTAACCTGCGCAGTCGCTCGTAAGGCGGCCAGGGGATTCATAACTACTGCTTCTCTTCAACATGCACAACTGGATGGATCATGGAAGACGACTTAAGCATGTCATAGGATAAACGATTCGGTATTACGGGACGATGAAACTAGCTACCTGGAATGTCAAGGGGGCTAAGTCAGTAAAAGAAGATAGAACTAGATTAACAAACTAAACAAAAAAAGAAATAGATATAGCTGTGATAAGCGGGAACCAACAAAAAAGCGCTGAAAGGTACTAAAGATATGAAACATTATACGATGAGATCTACTGTGGAGTAACTCAAAATGACAGGGCAAGTAGTGGGTAGCAATTATGGTTAACAGAGGTGGAAAAATAAGATAGTGGAGTATTCTTTGATAAATGAGCGGGAAAATGTTGACGTGGCAAAATTCAAATAGAGAAGGGGCCACTTAATACTTATGGCGTGTAGCCAGAAGAGGAAGGAAAGAGGACACCGGACGTTTTATGGACGGATCTTTCAAAAAACAAATAAGCAAAATAAACGAAAAATTAATCATGGTCTCCGGGTCTGGCGAACTAAATGGCCAGCGGTTGGTAACATTCCGATTCCGGGAGTTGTCGGGTATTTGGAGAAAGCACTTAAATAGAAAATCGGAGAAGAACTTAGGACAGTTTGACAGCTTCCAATAAGTTGAAATTGCTAATACCTTTTTTCAGGAAAAAAGAAATACACACCTAGAAGGTTTCACGCTGGAGTTGCCGAGGCCTCAGGTACACTGATAGATTATGTAATCGGCAAAAATGATAAAATTAGTAACCAAATAGAGGGAATTAGCAAGGTACACGGGGAGGGATGGTGATATATAGGTTCAGACCACACCTGTGATGCAACAATAGCAATGGGGTAGCAAATGAGGGAAGAAAAATTAGACCAAGGAAAGAGAAAGTCAGGAAATTTTCAAACTGTTACTTACTTGACACAGAAGGCATAAAAAGATTATATCAAAATCCGATTTACATAAATTTCTGTCAACGTGTTTCCACTGTGTGATGGTTGTGGATAAGGAAATGGCAGAATAAGTAAAGGAATGCAATAGAGAGGGGCAGCATTATGCAAGATTTAGGAAAGAAAAAAAAGCATAAGAAAAGAAAGGGACTGGAGAGTATGGAACGATTGTATAAGCGAAAGCCATAAAAGATAAAAGATATACTCATATAAAAATTCCTCAAAACAAACCCAAAAGCAAAAGAAGAATATAAACAAAAAAGGAATAACGCTAACAAATAATAAGATCTTGCACATAATGACTGCATGGGATAGATTTCATAAAGGCACCAATCGAACATGATTACATGGAAGACAATTGTTCGCGTACAAAGCGTTAAGACATTTAAATAGACGGAGGAAAATGTATGCAGATGATACGCATGAATCAATGAAGAACAAGTGGGAAAGGAACACTATATAACCTTTGGTGTATCTTGGAATGTTGACAGCCTAAAAGAGGAAGAGCTTTCGGCTAGCAGACAATACAGTGGATCCCATCTCCTTGGATGAATTAAAGCAAGCCTTGGAACGAGTATAAAAAACAGGAAGGCATGTGGTCGCTGATGGGAGTTAACACGGAACTCATAAAATATGCAGGCCCGCCTAGGCGAATTTAGACTGTTCATTCTGTTCAAGTCGAATGCTGGAAATCTTTATAGATACCCCAAAGTGGGAAACATAACAGAAGTCATATTTCTATCTTTTAAAAAGGAGGGTAGAAGAAATGGAATTGTGGAAACTACAGGTTATCAGCCTCATGAGATGCCAGGTTAATTTAAAGAATTTGCAAAAATTTATCAACGCTCGATTGAAATTATAGCAGGAGGCTAAATTACAAGAAGAAAATCAGCGGATTTCGGAAAGGGATCGCTCTGTGTAAGACAGACATTTTTAGTCTAAAAGAATATTAAGAAAACGACGAGAAGTAAATAAGGAAACCTCAATATAGCCTTTATTGACTTCGAGAAAGCTTTTTGATAGCGTGGCGACAGACGACAAGCTATTGAAACAGTAATGAACAAAGTCGGCTATCCTGAACCCCTGCAATAAAATCATCAAAAAATATGTTATCACGAAGACAAAAATATAATAAATACTGGGCATAAAGGAGACTGGGGAAGAAATATTAATAAATAGGGGATTAAACAAAGGATGTAGTTATCTCCAACACTAATTCATATATATATTGATGACGCTTATTAAAAAATGGAGATGCCATATCAGTTCTGGAATACAGTTGAAGCCGAGAATAAACACCTAAAGCGTTCTACTTTTATGGCAGGGATTGACGGTTACAATACTGGCAAGAAAAGTGAAGATGATTGCAAAAAAGCTGTTAATACATCACGCAGCATCAACTGGGGAAAGAAAAGAGCTATACTATTCCGATTTTCAAAACGAGACTCAAAAGTTATGAGCCGACAGTAGTGCGGTAAATAGCAGCGCCATCACGCTTCAAAGGATAGTTATTGACAACGGACAGTGAATGACCATGTTACTTTTCATATTCTTATTACCTTTGGTTGTTGACTAGCTATGACATAGATAAAGCACATAAGAAAAAAATAAAAAGCGCTAACAAAATATAAGTGTCGAATCAAGTATGATGGAATCACAATTTCGGTCGTTAATAAATAGAAACATCACGATATACAATCGTAGATGCAATGTATAGCAAAGCGAAGGGAAAGACACAAAAAGTGAAGTTTAATAAGACAATGGCTGTCCAGATTCTTCCTGTATGGTGAAGGTAGAAACTCGTGGGATAATGAAAAAAATAGAGATTCAAAGTAAGCTCCAAAGCAGGCAGAGCATGAGATATTCTTATAGAAGGAAAGTTAATAGCTGCATTAACTGAAAGGAACCAGGATAAAAATGAGACATCCTGTAAAGGGACTAGATATTACAGCATATAATAAAGGATCGGGATAGAAAACAGGAAGAATGGGCGCGCAATCGAAAGAATGGAGAAAGATTCGTATTCACAATTATGATGAACTACCAACGAAGGGAAGAAGGAGATATCGGACGACCAGAAAGAGATGGTCCTGATGTGCAGACGAAGTCGGAACAGGCACTTCTGCCTTATCCCTGAAATGGAGAAGAGAAGAAGAAGACGAATACTTCATCTTGTTAGAGTACCAGAGTTAATTGATTTTGAAGTAAATATATCTTAAGTAAATATTTATAAAACTAAGTAAATATTAATGATTTATATACTAACGTCTTTCAGCTAAGTTAGATGGCTAAGGTGCTTTGGTTCAATTTTGGTTCAAAGTATCCGAAGCATGGATGTTCCTTCCTTGTCTTTAGTATTTCTTGAGGGATATCAATATGAACCGAGAACTTGTACGAACGTGTAGTAATGCACGTATAATTAGGATCACTAATAACGACGCTAAGTTAACGCTACCAAATAAATAAATATGTATATATTATCTTCTTTCCACTCCCATCTCCCCCTTCTCTGTCTTCTTCTTCCTGCCTCTCCCCCCTCTCTCTCTTCCTCCTCCTCTCTTCTTGTATTGTATATGCAGCGTCGCCAAATGCCTTATATTTTGGTGGTACTGATTAGTGAAGCTTTAATTGTTTCTAACTCTAGTGTATGGTTCCAAAGAGGTAGTTACTATAAAAGAACAGGATACTGACTTCGACTGTAAAATAAAACGGTAGTATAGCTACGAGCGGATAATTAAAAACGTACGGTACCCATTCAATAAATGTAAATAGAAGTAACCATAGAAGTCGTATACATCTCCAATTATATGAACATTTGTGTGTAAATTGTGATATTGTAATATATTTCCACTGAAATAGTTTGAGATTATTAATATTTCATGTATGTGTAGAATTCTGTAATAGAAAAAATATGTCAATTCTTGATTTGTCTGTTTCGAACTTTCTAAAGACGTCACTTAATGCAACGAAATGTAAACGAAATACCGAATGTGTGGACCAAGATGGCATTTACATAGCATTTGCATACATCATAAATATTTCTCTTTGATTTTAGATTTTAAATAATGAGCCGTGGCGTTTACTTAGAGAGACAATGCAAGAAACGCGCTCTTGTCGCTTTTTCTGTTACGCGTGACGCGAGCCTTCCCCGATCAGGGCTACGAACCGGCCGGTTAGGGCACTCATTGCAAGGAATCCGGAGAGTCCCATATGATACCGTTGTGCGAGATAACGTTTTATGAGCGCGTTCCCGAGCAACACGGTCGCTTGCCTGCCGGCGGGCGGGCGGGCGGGCGGCTGGTCGGAGAGCGACCGGTTTGGCACGGGACGCCGCGGCGCGCGGCGCCGCACTGTTAGTTGACCTGGCAGCGTCTCCCAAGGCGCTGCATTGCCGTTCGACACGGAGGAATATACGGCCGCGATTGTCTGCGACTCCAACCCTCCGCGCCACGCGGACGGCAAACGGCGCGAAACGGATTGCGCCAGGTCAAGAGGGGCTGCGGATTCTCTAGATGCGCGCTCCATCATCGGCGCGTGCCAAAGTTCACGTGCGTGCGTGCGTGCGTGCGTGCGGGAGGGGGTCGAGGACAGCCTCTACTGTATTCCTGTTTGAATGTGCGCGATGAATCGTGTAACATGTTCAAGTGTCTGCTACTTAATATTGGATGCACGAAATGTTTCAATATATTATGTTTCCTCATAATTTTTTAATAAGTGTCTAAGAGATTCTGGGTGATTTGCGTCGTGTGGCGTAACGGAAGGAAAGTTGAATGGAAAATGCTAGCCATATCATATTTACGTCACGTCAAATACACTCTCGTTCTAGAGAGTATTTCAACACATTTCAACACAATTAGACGTGATAATCGTCGTAAAACTTTATGAAATAGCGGTCATGCAGTTGGTAGGGCCGTAAAGTTTACAGGAATTTAGAATGCGTAGATTACTTAAATGCGGACCTGCCTTCTTAATCTCGAATTAGCTTTGCAAAGGAAAATTACTAATTTGGAAGGAAGACAGTAGCTTCACTACGCAGACAAAAGAGTTCAAACAACTCTGCTATGTCAATTGATGTTATAACTCTGCGCCCAAGTCCATCGCTCACTAGATGTAAATAAAGCTTATGGATGGGAGATACTGATAGCCTGATTCTACGCATTTGGTAAACGTAATTTCAATTTTCACACACAAAAGTTTGTGCAATGTTTATAATTGGTGAAAATATGCTCGAAAGATTTTTTTTCTTTCTAGAGCAGCCGGATAATGAGTGCATCCTACATGGTAATGTATTGTTTCGAACTTTCACTCCTTTGGGGAAGTGTATTTTTCCTGTTCCTTAATGTTCTAGACTTTCACACATTTCGCAAGCAGTGTGCCTACCTGGTGTTCAGAAGGAAGGGATCTACATTTTTCGAGATATTCAAAGAAATTTTCCTAATTGAATTTATAATTATTAGTGTTCTGCAGCAACAAAAATGCTGCTAGACAAACCACAGAAAATGGCTTTCCTTTAAGTAGGCAAATACACCTTAAAACAATTATTTTTGAAAGTAGTTTTTCTTCTGTGTATTAATTTATTTAGAAATATTTGGTGAAAACACATTTGGATATCTGAAATAGTTTACGAGTTAAACCAGACTGTTCCAACTTGGCCTTTAGCAGGCACAGGCGCCCGCGTGCAATCGTGGCTACTTCAGGAGGAGGTTTTGGAGGGGGAAGCGTTCTTCTCATTTAACTTTGCTTTCCGTGAGAGCAATATAAGTAGTAGAGGAAGCCACAACATCTTTTTGCATATCATCGGATACCATTTATCTCCGATGCAGTTGGGGATAAAAGATTTGCAGAACTCTATACTTCTAAAAGACATATTTTAATACCCTTAATTTGTCGCGGTGGTGTCAGACTGTGGAAACTTTTCTCAAGCTTTATAAAATGCAACGAAGATTATATGTTTGAGTCAACATAATGTAGTGAGTAGCTTTTCTCTTCAATGGAAATAATAAAAGTCAAAGAAAGAACCACCTTGACGAGACATTGAAGAGCGTTCTACGAATCGCAGCAGCACAAGGACTGATACCAGATTGCTTTACTTGTTAAGAATAAGAGGTATATAAAATGAATTCAATAAAATATCGTTAATGATTTGAAATAGTACGTTTACCGTTAAAGAATAAGGTTTGTTTCTGAGAAGGAGCTCCAGTGTGCCTTCCACTCCCCAACCTAACCCCTCCCTGCTTGGGCAATCAGCGACGAATTGTCGCTAAAGGCCAAAGCCAACTCGCGTCCCAGGGGCTTATACTTCGCCAGGCACCGGCAGCATGTTCGTTAAGTTAACGCACCCACTTATCACAAAATTCAAAGAGAGTATCCCAGAATTTTCTTCTAAATAAGAACTTCAAAATACACGTTAAAGAATGGGTGCGCTAACTTATCGTTCAGTTAGAGTACCCATACAAGAAAATCGCACGAAATAAAAAAATATATACTAGAATATTGTTCTAATTAAGAACAAATTTATGTATGCCGGCAGAGGGTGTTGACAGCCGGACTCCGCCAGTGCCCGCGGTGGCTCGCGGGCGCCCGCGTGACGCCCGCGGGCAGCTGATATAAGAGGAACGTGCTGCAACACTAGTCATCTGCCAATCATTGCCATGCCTACTGTCACTTTTAGTACGAGAAATTTGTACTAAATACCTTTCGTGGCTAGAAATTTCCACGTGTATTTTTTCATACAGTCAGTCATGTTATCTTCATCAATTCGTAAACAAAGCTTCACGAGTATAATGTTCTGATATATTCCCTTTAATTTTTTCGACAAAAATTAAAATTACAAAAAAAATAATATAAGGAAAAAATTGATATGCGAGTACACAGGAAAAGAGAAAACACAAGAAGTGCAGGTCTTACCTTCGGTGCATCGTCATTCACAGCCCATGAGGGCTCCCGCGCGGAGATGGACAATCGCGCCCCGTCTTCTTCTGAATTGGGCGCCATTTCTCTGCAAAGAGGAAGTAACGTCAGTCACATACAGTCCTGGTAAGAACATAGAAGCTACAAAGAGCTGATACTTCATTTTAAGAGAAAATAAGAACATACAATCAGCATCTCCATTCAGTGTATCATAGAAGTTAATTTCGTAGCCTTTTGAGGAAATAAAATCCTTCTCAATTATAGGCCCTGATTGATAGCGGGCTCAAATGACTATAAAAATAATTAGTTATACTCTGTAATGTATGAAATGTATGAAATAATGTATGAAAATCAAGTATAAGAAAGTTAATGGACGAAACAGCATAAGTAAACATTTATATCCGTATTATTCTGAATATCTTGCGCTAATTCTATTCAAGCTTTTCTTGCACGAAGGAAAGTTTGATTAAGAGAATACATTTTAATTACTTTTAAAAATATTTAATTTAATATTGATTAGTGAGTGCAAATTACCTAAAATTCGTATGACGCATTACTGTCATTGATCTGATTTACAACGAGAGATATAGGTCTCGACGAGGAAACGGAGCATAATGTTAGTATTTTTAAGTAAGTTTCCTTAATCGTTACTCTAATAGTTGGTAAGTTAATAAACGTTTTTAAAAATATACCATCACAGAAACATAACGTTGAAATCTACATTGCGGAACATTTTATATCTTTGCCAAACTATGCTAGTACTACTACAAGTACGATAAAAAATTGTTCAAATTTCTTAGCAGAACAATTTCATTTTTTTAAATTCTTTCCCCAACAAAATGTAGTAGCATCAGCACAATATTTTACAAAGTAGTGAGTTAATAACAAGGTTAATAATATTATGTTTGCATGTAGTAAAGAAACATATTGAAATTTACTCAAAAACTCAATACTCAAAACTACATACTCAAAAACATATTAAAAACTTCAGAAAACAGATTTCAGATTTTTGAGAAGCCAAATGTTTGAGAATCAAAAATCCTTAATATTGATTTTTTTATTTAATATTTTCTAGCCGTAACGAATGATAAAAGACATTTGAATTCTATACTTAAAAAATCTCTATATTACTATCCGTATTCCGATTTGAGAAAATAGAGAATATATCCCGTGTTTACTATTAACTTCAGGCTCATACTCAAATACTCCTATTCCTATACATTTATGTTTCTTCTGCGACGTCTCGTTCGCATCCCCCAACAAGTGACGTCCGCATCGCGGAAGCTTCCAACCGCAGCGACGCACATCGAGTCAGCTGCAGCTCCTTTCCCGCTTCTCCTTCCCTTCTTCCGCCCCCGCCCCCGCCGCCGCCAACGCCGCCACGCCCACATTTCCATCCCATTTCCATAGGCATTTTCATATTACAAGCACTCAGTGACGGCGGCGACGTGCCTGTGTCTTAGCACGTCGCTCCCCGCGTCCTTTTCCTAATGTATTTACGGGCGCTTATTTATTGCTCGCGCGCACGCGGCCGCGACGCGACTACGCGTTGCGGCAGACGCCCGCTCATCCGCCCGCCATAAGCGCGTTGGCCGTGCGGCGAAGCTGTTCGGATTCATTAAAGTTGAATCGCATATTCGGTTGCCACGGCCGAGGTTTCCGAGGAGTTACGTTTCCCCGCTGTCGATTTTTCATTCTTAAGAAACATATGACGATACATTACTTCACGTTGCGTCGTGTAAGTGCATTAGGTTGTAGGTATTTATTGTAATTTGCATTTATGGTCGCAAGTATCGGTTGAGAGCCTGCGAAGGGTGGGACTACCGTTTTATGAGCATGTGAGACGCCAGAGACCGGACTCCTGTCTGCTTACGTAGCTCGGTTTACGGAGGAGATTGCCTGCGGAACATGCAAGTAGCGAGTTTATTGTGTGTCGAACGAGTGAAGGAAAAGACCAGAAGGCTGCGTGAGGGTCCGAGAGACGGGGCGCGAATGGGGCGCTCCCTTTTGGAACTCTGCGGCGTGAAATTCGGACTGACGGAATGAATACTTACGTTGTGAATGAATAAGATATTCGGCCTCTAAGCGAAATGGACCGAAGACCGGACTGTGGGCGTAGAACATTTAGTAGCCTCAAGGTCCGACGAGAAATATAACGTCATTGAACGGACGTTACTACCTCTCAATAATTCACAGAGTATCTCGTTAATTTTGAGGGCAAATAATCTATTCCAATGATGTCGTAATTCGGTCTATTACTGGCCTACCGATAAGTATTTTATAAATTTTGGAAAAGATATACAAACAAAATGAAACTATAATGGACTTCATAAACCATTGGACATTTGGAATGGATTTTGTAGCAAGATAAGAGTTTTCTTGAATAGTACTTTATATGATAATGTGAAAATGGTTATTAATGTTTAAATGTTTTTATTTAAGCGAAAACTTTCGAAATATTTAAAATTTTCTATACCAAGGCACGTTCCATACATTGTCTTGGATTACACTTTTTCTAGCACTGGTTGGACCCAATAAGGCAGAATTTCATTATTACTAAGTTAATTTAGTTTCATATGCAATGGTGGTGATGATACTAATATTTTTAAAATCTTCGTACTGTGATTGTATTATTATAAAACATTTTAAACGGCGGTGCACAGCCGTTGGGGGATATATCTGGAGAGCGAATTCCCTGAAGCCGACGTGCAGTTCTGCGCCGGACCTCACCATTTAGCGGAGGAGGAACACCGCCGCCTTTAGGGATAACACTTTCACTACACTAAAGGAAGAAATGACCATAGCAGTTGGCCTGCCCGAAAACACGAAAAAACAATTAATTATTCAATGGATCGGTAAAATCCGAAATGAACTGCCTAGCGGGGTATCCGAAGGGCACAAGTGCAGGAGAGTTAGTTGCCAGATCTTCGGAGGAAGGAACGGCACTGAATACAAAGGTCAACCAAACTGACTATTCATTAATCCACAATGGCTTTCGTTAACTGGAACGGGTGCCTGAGCACTAGTTCGTGAGGCATACGGCATTTTCGTCCCTTCCGAGGCGCGTCATGCGTGGAGCGGCCGCCGCACGGTGGGCGCCCTGCCAAGCGGAGGGGCAGCCGGAGCCCTCTCCGCCGCGCTTCCTCACCCCACTCTTCTGTACTCGTCTCCACCAGTGCACCGCGAACCGTTCTCCGTTTTCTCCTTTCCTTTTCACCCCTTTCTTTTCATCTTCCTTCTTGCTACACAACTAGGCCGAATTTAGTAGCTGATTGGAGGAGAATTCTAGCGGCGGTCTGCTCTCATGGCTACTTCTCCGGTTCTTTTCGAACAATTTTAGACGAATGCTAGATCAATGTCATAACAAACAAGCCATGCACCGCGCGCGATCTGCCATTTCTCGTCCTTGTCATATCCGCTCCCCTTATAATTATATGCACTACCACTCACGGCAGAAGGCCGGTCGGGTGCTTAGAGCTTGTGCCAGCTGATGCGATAATCTGCTAGTTTACTCTGCTACTCATAGCTTTTTTTTGAAGAGAAACAGTAAATTGGCGTGTAGGTCGGCGCCGGATTTCTCCACACAGCGGGGTGGGGAGGAACACTTCCACAATTCGGAGTAAAACATTCACTACACTGAAGGGACTAATAAACATTTGTTGGTGTGACGTAACATAAACGTTGGTATGACGGAAACATCAATCAATCGTTCTGCTTCTACAACATTTCCTCCGTTCTTCCTTCTCCTCTTTGTTCGTCATGTGGCAGAGTAAACCTTTATACGTAGCCTACAGCTAGATATCAACACATCAAATAAGTGAAAATAAAAAAATCCAAGTTAAGAACAATCAACTTCGGCCGGTCCGGATGGCCAAGATCGCTAAGGCAGTAGTGCCGTATCGATCTCGGACCGAAGGATCGCGAGTTCATCATCAAATGCGATATTTTTTTAAAAAGTGTTGTTGTTTAACACAGTCCTTCACACATCTACACCATGTTGATACCATAGTATTGATTCACCATAGTATTTAATATTGTTATTACCATAGTACTACTTCCACTACCACGACCACTAATACAACTATACTTTCCAGAAATTTGTTGATGTTCATTTAATGACCTGCTTTTTACTCCATAATGTTGAAGAAATCGTATATCAGTCTGTGGTCGACAGACTATCGATTGGAGAAGTACCGAAACTATACGTCGGGACTGGGAAACATCCTGGAGAGCATATGATTAGCATGAGTGGCAGAGACAATGACCAAGCACTAGCTCCTCCCTCATTCTTCCGTGTTTCTTACGAGGCCCATCTATCTACCCACTGGTCCGCGTGCTACCGTCTTCGTGCCTCCCCGTGGCCGTCGGACGCCTTGACCGTGGGCGCGGCCATGGGTCGGCGACCGCCGCTGCGGCGCGACGTGGTGAAAGTGTCAATCAACGCAGAGGGCAGCGGCCGATGGCCGCTCCTCCGAGAAAGCTCCGGCTTCCTCCGCCTTCCCCCGGCTCCAGGCGCGCGCTCGCCACGGGCCCTACCCCGCTCGCCGGCGCCGCGGCCAATTCACCTGCCCTTTGAACCTGCCGACAGCAAGAGAAATAGTCCCGTATTTGGGCGTTTCTCCTGCTCTTCAGTACGGGGTTCGTCGGGGTGAGCCAAGTGCTTTGATTTAGTTGTTTTCACACCTGTCATGCAATATGTATGTGTCATCAATACCATTGATAATAACACTTATAATGACTTGTATCACTCTCTAGCTTGTGAAAAGTATCACTAAAATTACTTTTTCTTACCACATATTTCGCATCATCATGATCACACCCTTCAAGAATAGGGGTCACGTTTACTGCAGGCCGAGTCACTTATTGTTTTTGTCTCTTCATATCCAGTGACTTCATAAAAATAGTTGTATGCCTACAGCGTTTGTTGTCCAAATCACCAGGTACCCCAAGAATTGAGTGTTACACCAACGCAGGGTAAGTCTCCTTTCATGAGCTAGTACATACGGTTCATATATCATTTCATGATAACGTTTTCAATGAGTAAAAAAAAGAGAGGAACGAGAAATCAACCTAATCATTCACAAATTTGCATTATTATTTCTATTGTTGAGTGCTAGAATTAAATACTTGATTAAATTAAATATTTATCACTTAACTGAACTTGATATTACTCGCGAGCTAAGATCTTCACTTACGAACATCAATGCTTCATTTTTTTTTATTATCCCCTCCGTTTTTAGCATATCATTGCAAATTCTACCAGTCTCCTCTGATACTTTATAGAATGCTTTTCTGTGACAGTTTCTCTCCACTTTTATGAAATCAGAAAAAAGGACATACTTTCTGCATGGAAATTCCCGCTGTCAATACTTTTTTGATTATTTATTTGCTACGAAGTCACTACAGGAATAATTCCTTTCGAAACGGGATGCTGGATATTTACGGCCCACCTTTTACTTTAACAATGTGCCTAAATCAAATGTTAAAAAATCTCGATAAGGCAGGCCTCGTCTTTCGCCTGTGCCTTTGAAGTAGGTCGTCCGTTGCCCCTTCAACGTAGCCGCCTTTTCCCGTCCGTCCGGCCGGCCGGCCCGCCTCCTCGCTCGCAAACGAGTCGCCGCCGCTCTGATTTACAGCTCGCGGCGCGGAGCGATGAGCTGCCAGAGCCCGCGAACGCGCCGGAGAGGGTCCGCGAGCGATGTGCAGGTAGCGCTGAGACTGATTTTTTGCCTGCCCGTCGCGCATTGGTCTGCAACACGTAAAAAGATGTTGAAATATTTCTAGTACTTATGACATTAAATTTTTAATATCTGATCTCTGCCGTTTCCGGCAGTTAAGGAGGTTAGAGCACATACCTAAGCATGTCTCTATATCAACGTTGCGGATTCAAGTACAGTCCTGTGCCCTTGCCCTAATATATACTACTTCACTGGGGTATGCAAAGTGAATTGGCTGGAAAAATCTCTAAAGTTCTAAAAAATCTCTCCGTACTAAAAACAAAACTGTGGATGAAGATTTAACAGCTATTCTTTTCAAAATTAAGATGGCATCACAAATTAATATTAACCGTTATGGCCATTGGTGTATTTCTATTAGTATTATGATCTGCAAAAGCCTTTCGTTCATACCTGAGCTTAATGAGTCATAGGCGATGATCATATCAGTTCGATGTTAAAAATACTCTTTCACTTTATCGCCCTTAAGAAGGATTTTATTAAGAAGAGAAAGTTACTTAATGCCGCGGGAAAAAGCTGTCAACTTTCGGCCAAAAAAAACTCCCTAATAACGAGAAAGTGGATAAATCCTGTTGCTAGAGTTAGAACAAATTCTCAAACTCTTGGTGTTGCCAAAATCCATGCTTTGTGGATCTTTGATACCGAAAAATCGATTGACAAGAAAACACCTCTCCGTCTG